AAAATTTTTTTTTTGCTTTAATGATCTACTCTATTTTAGGTTTATTTTTATTGTATTCTGTGGTACACTCATTTTTACATATTTTTTCACTGTTAATTTCTTTGGATCCATATTCATGTGATCTAAGATTTAAGGTAATTTTTATTTATCTCCAAGGACAATCTTATTATCTATCAAAACCTTTCCTAATTTACATTGTGATTTTCCCAGTTTGTTCAGATAATATATTTGAAATCATTAAGGCTTTTTATGATTTTAAAAGCATTTTTAAGAAACTAAATACATTTATCATATGATCCAGCTAATCCTAGACACTTGTCCTAGGAAGATTAAAAAATGCTCCCCCTCAAACTTGTACACAATAGTTCATAGCAGCTTAATTTTTAATAGCCCCAAATTTTAATCAACTAAAGCACAATATCTTTTCAGTTTTGTGAATTTATAATTATTTCCAAATTAAGAAAGTTTATGAAAAAGATAATCTCTGGTTAATGATACACCAGACAAATTCATTAATGAATATATATTGTAACCTCATATATGGACTGAATCTACATTCAGATTCAAGAAAGCCCAATAATTTTTCCACATAAAGTACCTTTTTTATGTGACTGGATAACTGATTTGGGTGATTTCCCAAATATTTAAAGGGAATCATTCTTTATGCAAATAATGTCACAGAATAGAACTGCAAGAATCCCTCAACTGCTACTCTCTTGAAAAAGAAAACTCAAAAGAATAAAGTATTGAAAGGAAACCTAATAAACTACCTTTAAATTTCATCCCATGATCCTTTATCATTTTAGCACATTTGTCTTTGCATAGGTCTCCTTTAATCACTTGTGTTTATATTTTGGATCATTAAATTAACATTTAGATTTCAAAGCCTCTTTTTTTTAAAGAGAAGGTAAATGTTATTTTTTATACTTACACTTATTTATTTAAATTTTTCTTTTTTATTAGTATATGTTTGCTATACATAATACAGTCATTGTGTGTATGTACCTACTCCCCAAGATGACTGTAAGTTGCATGTGCTGCAAACATGTACTAATAAAATTTTAAAAAGATAGTCATTGTGCAGAATTGGTAGCTACAGATATTGTATCTTATT